AATCCAAAATGGTGGAACAAGATTTATTTGATACTCGAATAACTCGTCTTAGTGTATAGTAGTATAAATGTTTATATTAAAAATTGAATAGTTCGCAGGTTACAATTATTCATAAAATAGATCCATTAATTTGTATACATAATTATCGACGTAAACTGTACAGTTTGACCACATACAGCAATGCTATAATTTATTAACAAAACATATAATAGTAAATAATAATAAGAATACATGTATTTCATAATTAAAAACAAATATATAACTAATAAGCAATGTTATATTCATTTGAATTGAATATATAAGTGACAATGATTAGAAACGAAATATTGGATAGAGTATATTTTTGGAATAATCTACGTTTATTCATTGTCGTACTACGACTACCCTTAAACTTAAAAGTTTAAATCCATTCAAGCTCGAAAGAATCTGATTTATATATATAAAACCTCAGCGCACCTTACCTAGCGCACCTTACCTAGCGCACCTTACCTTCTTAGAAAATTTGTGCCTCTGCTGCTGAGGCATACTTTCGACAATATGTATAATAATTTATAAAAAACTCGACGTATGATCATCGTCTCTATTTATCGACACAAAAAAATTCAAAACTATGCACGGTCGGTTTACGGTTTAGATAAAATGTAGTTGTGACGTAGTGATGGGTCGGTCATCGAGTGGCCACTTAATTATATTGTATAACCAAAATGTAATATTTTGATACATAGATTTACGCTTTCTTATGATACGTGATACAACACGCAGGAGCGTGGTTTTTAATTTTTTTTTATTTATGTATTTTGCCTTAACTGTGCACGCAGGACTGAAAAAAGTGTTCCCATGTCTTGCCTGCGGCAAAGTGTTGTGCTCAAAAGCAAGTCTGAAGAGGCACGTGGCCGACAAGCACGCGTCCAGGCAGGAGGAGTACCGGTGCGCCATATGTGAACGGGTGTACTGTTCACGCAACTCACTGATGACGCATATCTACACATACCACAAGACGCGGCCCACGATGCTGTTGCCACCACCACCGCATCATGCGCCCCCGCCACCCACCACCCACTCCGACGTCAAGTTCTAGTATTCGATATTCAAAGGTAAGTAAATAATCCACATTAAAGGTCTGGTGCATCTTGTACCGTAACGCTATAATCAACATCACTGACGAGTTACGTCAACTCCTATACGGGGGGGGGGGGGGGGTAGTGGTAGGTATGGATTGATACGTAATAAGGTGATAAAAAATATGTTTTTCTTCAATTTTGGACAAAAAACTCAATCAACAGATAATTCAAGTTTATGAGATTACATAGTTTTATAATTTACAACTTATACATTTCATCTAACATACTCATACTTGCATCGAATTATTCAATGTTAAAGGATTAAGATAAGCTGATATCAATTAGCTAAATGTTTTTTACTTAGAAATAGGTACCTAAAATTTGACTTAAAAAATAAAGTGCCGCTTTTGAATACAAACCTCATAACAATCCGCGTGATAGGCTAAGAAAAATATTGATGGATAAGAAAAAAGTCTAATAGCATTCTGCATTATGTATTTATAGACAATTCAGAGGAAATTGTGAAAGAAAGAGGTAGATGATGATGGTATGACCAAAACTCATAGAAACTTGTTATGCCAGGACAAGAAGATAAATGAAGAAACTAGTCACGCACTAGTCGGCATTACATAATTAAAAATTAAATTATTATCCATAACGATTTATTAATTATTAATTTTGCTTTATTTTTATGAATTATCAAATATATTTTTAATCAGCATTATATTATATTATGCTAGATATCTAATATTTATTGATATTTATTAATTTTAAAATGAAGACATAATCCTTATAGACTTTGATCATTGGTTAAAACTATCAAGTTTTTTTTATCTAATACTTTTTTCTCTAACTAGATTAAGTGTTTAGGTACGATTTATTACTTATAAATATTAATTATTATTACGGAAATATCACAAAGATACAGATATTATAGATTTACACTAATAGTTTTACGTTACAATGTATATGTGTATTTTACTACAGAAAAAACTAAAATGTTTTATCATATTTAAGTGTTTCATACACACTATATAAATACAGAAATATAGGTTTACTATTTCTTAAATAAATCTATATACTATAAATAACACGTAATAAATACCACATGGAAACCTCACCAAATACCCATAATCATCATCTCTTAATCTTTTATAAAAACTCTCTGGCTCTTTTCAAAAGCAAAAAAGCCTCTAGCTGTACCCATTGGTATTTATTTATTGCAATAAATCTAATAATATTAAAAATATACTTAAAGATCTTAACTTAAAAGATAATGCCCTACAAGGTTACACTATATATTATGATTTTACAGTAAAAAACACGATATTTAAAAATATGTAAAACAAATCTCTTTATAGGTATACTTAAAATACCTAAAAATTCAAAATAAAATGCAATGTATAAATATTATTTCATACCGAACAGATTTAAAATGTGGTCTATAATATACACAACTATATCTAAAAGAAAAAAGAAGAAGTAAAATGTATAATATGGATATGTATCATATCCTTTATGTTATTATTCCATAAAAACGTACAAAATTTCGAGTACTCACTTCCAGTATAATATAGACAATAGACATGTATATAATATGTATAGAGCTGAATGGTGCGTGCGACAAAGGTCAATTCCGAGCGAAACGTACGATTAAGATCTGTCGTTTAGTTTTTTTTTTTTTTTTTTTATCGCGAGTACAAACATAATATGCGATCGCATGCATGTCATGGGCAATAAACAAATCATTTCGTCTGCGTTACATTCGGCTGATAAAGCTGGTAAAAAGACCAAATTCTGTTTTGTCGGCTGTTCATAAAGAATATATTATTAGTGCCTATAGTAAAATGTTTATTTGTTTTCGTTATACTTTAAAGCTTCGAATTTTAACACAAATTCTCAGAACCAATTTCCGAGAATTAACTATAGTCTGTAAAGAATACATATAAATGTGTAACGTATTTAGATGTTAAATTGTCAAATGTTTAAATACAAAACTATAACTTAATATTTTTGCTTACCATCATTTTTGTCGACCCCTGTGTATATATAATAGACATTTTATACCGGTCATTCGGTCAAAACTAGGATAGAATACATAATTTATCTATGGTACGTGATGGTTGATTTTTAATGGTTTTAAATTTTTTCAATCATACGCACCCTGCACGGCTGCACACCTCTGTCCCACAAATACCGGTCAAACGTTAACTGTTTACTCAATTCCGGAAAGAATAAATATTATCACAATCCCGGTAATTTCAGACATAGTTTTACGAAAATTAAATGTTTAATATTTTTATTGTTAAATTATGGCTCATACATTATAATTAATAATAATGATGATACGATTATGACGAAGAAATATCTACTACTTTTACTTATCCCTAGAAAAAACAACACCATGAGTATGTGATATTGCATAGCCTTCACTATTAAAGAATGTGCAGTAGACAACCAATTGTTAACTTTATTGTGTAAGAATAATTGCTCGATTGACATTGTATTCATTCTGAAGTCACGCAACCAACAGCACCCGACCTATAGAAAAAAAATGTTGTTAATTTAATGCATCCGTTAAATTCATATGCGTTAAAAAATTATATAGTTTAAGTTAACTGAACAATAAACGGTTTAAATGTGATGATTAAAATGTCGATTTGAAAACAATTCATTAAGCGCTAAAATTATAATAATAGTTATTACGTTTTAAAAAAAATAAAATTATCCGACCATTTATACCTTAGCGTTTTATAAGTATGACATTTCTAATCAGTAACATACTAAAATATTCGCATGGTGATTCAAGCGTTACAACCATAATATAAAACTAATAACATTTAATGAATTAAAGATGAACCACTGAACGGCTTTTTTATCAATTACATTACCGAAAATTGAGCTTATATTATGTTAAATCTCCAAATTTCTCAAAAAAATTTACAACGAATTTGTTCGCAAAATGCATACTTAATGTATGCTATTTTAGTTTGATTCATGATTTTATCGTATTAATGTATTGCGTGCAATAACCTGTAATCTATTAGTCAACAATTTAACGATTACAATAAACCCACGTAATAATATTTAATCAATCAGCAATCTATACTCAAAATTCCAAAGCAATTAAGGACCTTTAAAATACTTTCAATTCAGCATAAATGATTTCCATGTGTAGATAATTTACAGTGTGAATAAATTTAATGTTACAGTAAAATATGTAAAAAAATTGTTTCTATCTTCTTACCGAAGACTGTCCCAATCGTACGTTTTATTTTAAAACAATTTATAATATATATATATTATATATGTATATAATATATACATGTTATAATATTTACTGTTTATAAAATAATCGTTACAAATTATTACTTTTAATACATACAATTTACATACCAAAAGGAATTAATCAAGTCTCATTGGAGCGGGGGAGAGGGGTCACGGATTGCGTTTGTTCCCCATCGTCCTTCCTCAAAACCGTCACCGATATACAGGATGACACGCCGCGTGTGTCCTCTCGCACCACTCGCTCACAAATAATTACGAGTATATTTATATAATTTTATAATACTATGATAATACTCCTCACCACCATCTCACGCCTAAACGTTAAGATTCGCATAACGATTTGAATACTCAATTATGGAATTTAATAAATCAACTTTAAAAATATTTACATAAATTAATTCTATAAATAGGGTATCTCCGTTTCGAAGTTTTTTTTTTTTTTTTAATTAACGCAAAAATTTTAATTTAAATTTTTAATTTCCATTTTAAATAAAATGCAAAAATAATGAAAACAAAAATTGTTCGTCTCTTTTAACTACACCGATAACGATAGTATTGTTATTAATAATAATAATAATAGTGATAAATCGTTCCGTTCGATGATGTTGGTATATAGGTACACGTCATTAGAGTTTAATACAACGTAAAATCATGCGTTATTATTTAAGACAATATTATATTTTATACGATCGGAATTTGTTTTCATTGCGTTCGTCTCCGACAGGGTATCAGATACTTCCACCGCCAGCCAACGGCGGCATCAACGAGCCACAAGACTGTCCGCACTGCCGACGGACGTTCAGCTGCTACTACTCGCTGAAGAGACACTTCCAGGACAAGCACGAGCGGTCCGACACGCTGTACGTGTGCGAGTTCTGCCGGCGGCGGTACAGGACCAAAAACAGCCTGACCACGCACAAGAGCCTGCAGCACAGGGGCTCGGCGGTGGCGCTTAAACGTCTGGTGAAAACGTTCGCCGCAGCAGCCTCGTCCGCCGCCGCTACTGTCATCGCAACGCCAACGCCGCCGCCGCCGCCGCCGTCATCGTCTTCGTCGTCGTCCGAGTCTCCACCACCGAAACTACGGTCACGGTCACCACCACTGGTCGTCTGCAACGGTTGCCGATCGTCGTCGCCGTCGTCATCGTCTTCGTCTGCTCCGTCTCCGTCACCGCCGCCCGCCGCCCGCCACCTACCGCAAACACGGTATAGGCGAATGACATAATATTAATTTAAGCTGGTCAACCGTTCATATTACGGCGCTGTCGTCGTCGTGATACGTAGCCGGTGCAGTTGTATGACGTTTATGACGCGACGAACCGTACAGTACCTATACAATATTCTATATAATATTATTAAGTATATTTATATATAATATATATATAATATTATAATAGTTTAGCGTATATATATTATATATATATGCGCACACACACACATACATATTATATCATTATCATTATTATCAAACACCTTTGTTGTTGTTGTTGTTGTTGTTGCTGTTTTTGTTGTGTCGGTGCCGCCGCCGTCACACCGGAAACGACCGGAAATGCACACGGCGAAAACACGTGGGGCGTTCGTCCACCGTTCGTTTCCGGTGCACCAGGGTCTTGTGTCATCTGAGTAGTAGTATCTTAGTAGGTAGTAGAATAAATTAGAAGTAGTTATTAGTATTATTTATAATAACTGCAGTAGCCGCGTTGAGCGTGTGGGTGGTTTGAACTTTTTCGGTTTTATTTAAAAACTATTTTTTTTTCGTGTAAGTATATAATTTTTCTGACCTGTGGAGAAAAATATGGTTTTTTCCCACGCCATTTTCCCGCCAAAAAAATGGCATTTTTAATATATTATAAATTAATTGTATTGGTATAATAATTCTTGATGAAACAAAAAAAAAAAATAACAAAAAAACGTTATCTTATATATTTACTTTTTGCGTACTTGCAATTTGACTGACATGATTGATCTACATAATTTTTTTTTTTTATTATTATTATTTTAAATTTAATGAATCTATATAATTATACTTATAAGGACATATCATTATAAAATCAACAAATATTATTATTATTATTATTATTATTATTATCATTATTCCCATGTGTTCTCGTAATAAGTTATTTTTTTCCCGTATACGGGGAAGACGGAGAAACATGCACATAGTCCGACAGTAAAACAAAATATTATACATAAAACGATTTCCTTTACCGTGTATACAAACACCAACGACACACATAGTTTGATGAATGTTTGTTTATTATTATTTATACAAATATTGATGGTATACTAGTCTTCGTTTTTTTTGGATTTAAGTTTTTTTCTATTATTAGTGTTGGGTGGGTATAAAATACTTCTTTGAGGCAAAACTATCAACAAAAAAATAATAATAATAACAAAAATAAATATACTTAAACAACCAACAACAACTGACTATCATTTTATTATTCGATGTACACAAAAAAACTGTATAGGTGTCTCTTTTGAATTATTTTATTAATATATTATCATTATACATGTGATCGGTTATATATTATTAACATGAACGATATATATATTATATATTATAATAACGAAGGGTCTTAACTTACTATTTAGAAACCTGAAAAATATATATATATTATATATATATATATTTATTATTAAATTCACATTATTATTACTCTATATATTTACACACACATTTTCTACTGTTATTACTACGTAATAGTTTTCGTTCGTTTTTTCTTTTTATTTTTTACAGTTGATGATATTCGTTGTTACACACTACATATAATATATATAATAGACTCTAAAAAATAATATATAATTTATACAGACTGACTGCAGAAACATTGGGTATTATATTTCATTATTTAGTTTTAAAAAAAAAAACAATAATAATAAAACACACATTCTGTTTAAATATTATATTATCAATTATATATTTGCATTGTTAATCCGTTGAAATAATTATTATTATTATTATTATTATTATTATTATTATACTATATTAAATACAAACTCAAAGTAATAGTACATTTCAAACAATAACCGCTGCCATATGTGATCAGTTTTTCTTTTATTATTTTTTATATATATATATTATATATATATTGTAATATTACATAACATGATATGCAAATATTATTTTTATTTTATCAATGTACATTCCGATACCACTAACATGTTATTTATTTTGTACAATTAAATACCCATGTAAATAAATTATATTATTAAGTTATTTGAAATGAAAATTGAAAACAGAAAAGAAAAAAAAGAAAATACTGTGTTTGTCTATTATCTATTTGTTACGAAGACACTTGTTAGTTCAATGGTAACTTTCACGGCATTTTAAAGCACAACGTTTTTTTTCATTTTTTAAAGTTTATTTTATTGACCTATGTTTTATTTTACTTTATTATTATTATTATTATTATTATTTTTTTTTTTTAACCTTGTATTACCGTCATTATATAGTTATTAATAACAATTTTTGATTACATAAACTTAGTACAAGTTCAGTGTAAAAGGGTAGATACTGTGCCAATTTACGAAAATATTTTTTTTTTCTAAATGTTAAGCGTATATAAAACGATTTTTGAATAATGTAATATATAGTTTTGACTTTTGTCTGTATAATGATTATGTTTATTAGCATTGTGTAATGCGATCAAATATTCTTATGTTTTGTAGATATGGTTAAGATTTATTATTACAGTATTATATACATGCATAAATATTATATATGTGTATGATGTAAGTATATATTCGTATATGATATATAAGGACATAGCGCACACACGATTTATATATTGAATTTTAGTGGCATTTTTTTCGTTTGGCCTGAATAAAGCCCGCGAGATTTACGTGTGAAATAGTAAATAAGAATCGAAATTCAGTACAAAATAACTAGAAATTTTCAAAAAATAGTTGAACTTGTTGCTCAATAATATTTAGAGACGGTGTTTAACAGCAGTTTTCAACGAATCTGTAGTCTCATAAAACTTATATAGTTTTTTTTCCAGATTAATTTTTGTTTCACTTATTGGTTTTCTTTATTTTTTTACATATTATATATATACAACAATTTATTACAATAGATTTTAATTTACAGAGTAAATGGGCATTAGACAATTGACATCCGTTTTCATCGACAGTATAATATTTAATATCTGTTCTGTTTTTTCTCATCATCTACAGCAGACACAAATGTTTTTATTATTATATTACGTGATTACCATTATTATTATTATTATTATTATTATTATTATTATTATTATTATTAT